TGGAGTGCCGGGGGCTGGTCAAGGTCAAGGGCAAGGGGGAAATGACCACCTACTTCCTCAACGCCGGCCCTGGGGGCAGTTAGGGGGGGTCCTCATGGTGCCCCCTCACCCCCCCCGGGGGGCTCCCCCAGCCTGTGCTGGGGCCAGGCGAGGATAAAAAGAGAAAAATCCCCAAATCCACGTATTTAAAAAAATAAAAAAGAAAAAAAAGGGAGAAACGGACACAAGGGAGGCGGTTGGAGGGGGGGGGCGGTGAGACCCCTCTGTGCTCCCCCCCCACCCCAAGGTGGTGTTTTGGGGGGGTGTTTCCCAGGCCTGCACCGGGGTGTTTTATTTTGGTGGTGGGGGGGTCAGGGCAGGGTGAACCCACCCCCCCGCCTTCCTTTGCTGAAACCCCTCCATGTGCCAAAGAGGGGAGATGGGGCCCCCCCAGGGAAGGTTTTGGGGGGGTTTGAGGGTGGGGGTGTCCCCAGCCCCCTCCATGTGCCAAATTGAAGTGCCGCCTGCGGGGGGGGTTGGGAGGGTCGCAGGCCCAGCACCTCCGCAGCCCCCCCACCCCCCCGGGGGTCCCAGCTCCCTCTGGGGGGGGCTGCAGCGGGGAGGAGGAGGGGGGGGCAGCCCCCTTCCTCCTTTTAAATGCAAAAAAACTAATGAAGTGACTTTTTTTTTTTTCTTTTAATTTTAATTTTTTTTTTCCGGTTTGGTTTTTTGTTTTTTTTTTTTGAAGCGGTTTTGGGGGCGGGGGGGGGGGCTCAGCCCGGGGGGAAGGGTGTGTGGGGGGCAGCGTCGCCCCCACATCCCAGCGCAGACCTGAGGTACTTTGTCCTTCGTGTGTACAGATAAATTATATATAAAACACTTTGGATACGAGCTGTGGCCTGGTCTGTGGGGTCAAGGGGGGGGACACACGGGGGTCCCAGTGAGGGGGAGTCCGGGTAAAGGGGGGCTGAGAGGCTGGTGGGGGGGGTACAGGCCGTAAAATCGGAGGTGGGGGGGTCCCCATGTCCTGGGGTGGGGGACATATCAGGGATCTGAGAGGGGGGTCCCGGTGTCCCAGGGGTGGGAACACGGGGGTCCCAGTGCTGGGGGGGTCCTGGTAAGGAAGGGGTCCCGTAGTCCCGGAGGGGTGACACACAAGGGTCCCGGTAAGGGGGCGGTGAGAAGCTGTCGTGGGGGCACAAACACCGCCCTGAGGTTGGGGGGGGCTGCGAGACCCCCCTAAAACCGGAGCCCCCTCAGGCTTCCGGTGTGGGCGTGGCCTGTCCGTCCACGGCCGTATCCGCACACGGGGTGGGCGTGCCCACCATCAAGCCCCGCCCCCTCTCCCGGAACACGCGCTCCCCCCAACGGCCGCTCCCGCTCCGCCCCTCCGGCGCTGTGACGTCACCGCGTTGCGTGCGCACGCCGCCGCGTCCCCCGCGCGGGCGCAGAGCCGCCATGGAGGCCTCGGCGGGCGGCGGCGGCGGCGGTGCCGGGCCCGGGCGCCGCTGGTACTTCAGCCGCGAGCAGCTGGAGCGCAGCCCCTCCCGCCGCGCCGGGCTCGACCCGGACAAGGAGCTCTCGTACCGCCAGCAGGCGGCCAACCTGCTGCAGGACATGGGGCAGCGCCTCAACGTGTATCCATCCGGGCCCGCGCTCTAGGCCGCGCTAGGCCGCGGGGTGTGGGGGGGAGCGGGGCGGGGCGCGGAGGGCGCAGAGGGGGGGAGACGGGAGGGTCGGGAGAGACGGGGGAGGGTGTGGGGAGAACCGAGAGCGGGGAAGGGAAGGAGCGGCCCCGGAGCGGGGAGAGCCCGTCCCGGCGTTGGGGTTGAGCAGAGCCCGGCCCGGCATTGAGCAGAGCCCGGCCCGGGAATGGGGAGGTCGGTGCTGGCGTATTGGGAAAGCCCGGCTCGGCTCGGGAGCGGGAGGAGCCCCGTTTTTTGGATCGAGGAAGTCCTGTTTCGGGAGCGGGCAGAGCCGCTCTGGCGTGTTGGGAAGGCTCGGGAACGCCCGACCGGCCCGGAAGCGCCCAGCTCGTTTTGGGATCGAGGAGATCCCGTTTCGGGAGTGAGGAGAGCTGTACCGAGGTGCGGGAAGGGAAGACGCGAGAGGCCGGGAGAACCGAGCTCGTGTGGGGGTCGAGGAGATCCCGAAATGGGTTTGGGGAGCAGGGAGAGCTATGCTGGGCTGTCGGGAAGGCCCAGCCTGGGAGCGAGGAGAGCCGAGCCTGTTTTGGGATCTGGGAAAGCCCGTTTTAGTCTCGGGAGGAGCTGTGCTGGGATGCAGGGAAGACCCAGCCCAGGAATGCGGAGAGCTTGTCCCATCCCGGTGGGATCAATTCCAAGGGCTCCCCTGAGGAGAAACTCCCTGCCCGGGGGTCTCTGTCATGGCTGTGCCTTTCCTTAACCCCTTTCTCAAGCTCCCAGCTCACCATCAACACGGCTATCGTGTACATGCACCGCTTCTACATGGTGCAGTCCTTCACCCAGTTCCACAGGAATGTAAGTGCTGGGATCTGGAGGGAAAGGGGGGCACTGGGAATTCCCCTGCTCTGCTCTGGGGAGGTGGGAACTGGCCCCAGGGGAGGGATTTTGGGAAGGGGGAGGGATGAGAAGAGAGACCCTTTTCTCCCTCCTGGTGGTGGCTGGACTTGCACAGGCTTCACTTCCTGGAAGAATGTGGAGAATTCACCTGATTTATTTGATTTATTGTCGAGTTTGGTGGCTTTTTGAAGTGACTTTTGTGCCTCTCCCCTCAGTCCGTGGTGCCGGCGGCGCTTTTCCTCGCAGCCAAGGTGGAGGAGCAGCCCCGGAAGCTGGAGCACGTCATCAAGGTGGCACATGCTTGTCTGCACCCCCAGGAGCCTCTGCTGGACACCAAGAGCGAGGTGGGTGTGGGGATGGAGCCCTGGGATGCGCTCTGAGGAGTGGGAACTGCCTCTGGAATCGCGTGGCTCCGGTGGCTCCTCGACCCTCCCGGGGGCAGCTTCCCAGTCCAGCAGCTCCTGCTACGGGGAGATTTGGGCTTCCCTGCTCTGGGCAGCCTCTGCTCTGCTCTGCTGCACACCTGGGTCCAGGTGTGGTGGGAGCCAGTGTCCCTGGAATGCTGCCCAGGGGGGCAGAGGTGCTGGAATGGAGCAGAGGTGGGAGCAGTTTGTCCCCACGCCTGTCACAGGGGGTTAAAAACGCTGCTGGTCCCCCCCCACCTCTCCAGACAGCCCGTTTCACCTGGAGCTGGGCAGCCAGTCCTGCTGGAAGGGGCAGCTTTTTTTCCAGGGAAACTTATGGAAAATGAGAGGGGAAGAAAAAAAAAAAAGGCAGGAATAGCTGCTGATTCCTGCTAATTCCTTTCCTGCTCCTGTGCCACCCCAGGAGTGTGGGGGACCAGCACCCAGGGCCACCCCAGAGCTCTGCTCCCTCTTTCACACAATCCCAGGATGGTTTGGGTTGGAAGGACCTTAAACCCCATCCTGTCCCACCCCCCTGCCATGGGCAGGGACACTTTGCACCAGCCCAGCTTGCTCTGAGCTCCACCCAGCCTGGCCTTGAGCACTTCCAGGGGGTCTGTGCCAGTGGCCCCGTGCAGGGAGATTCCCATTTTTCCCCTGGAGAGAAGGGTGTTAGGAATGTGCAGGCTTGATCCGAGTGCCTCTCCGTGAGTAACCTGCCTGTCCTCTCAACCCCAGGCTTACCTGCAACAAGCCCAAGACCTGGTCATTCTAGAGAGCATAATACTGCAGACCCTGGGTAAGTTGTTCGAAGCGGCCGGGCTGCCACACGAATCCCAGAGCCAGGAGAACTCCACAGGCTGGAGAGCCTGACCCCTGCTGTCTTCTCCCCAGAGTCCAGGCGACAAACCCCCTTTTTCACCCCCACTCTTGTTTTAACATCAGTTTTTCCAGGTGTAACTCCTGCCAGGCTCAGTGCTCAGAGAGATTTTAAGTGTGGCTTGTCTCTTTTTTTCTTTTTTCTTTTGGTTTTTTTTTTTTTTTTTGCTTTTTTCCCCCTAAAGAACCAGGATTTGTGCTGCTTGGACACCGGTCGCTGTCATGGGTTGTGCTTTCCAGCTCAGTCATAGAATCATGGAATGGTTTGGGTTTAAAGGGACCTTAAAAACCACCTAGTTCCAGCCCCTAAAGCTCTTAATTCTGTTGCAGGAAGCAGTTTGTGCTGAGAGATGTCTAAAACACCCAGTTAAAAAGTGAATATTTGCATCAAATAATTGAATGGGGGGGAAAAAACCCAGAAAACAATAAACCAGCAACAGTTTTTGGAAGTAGAAGTTGGAGCCTCCACGTAGGGCGGTGGTTGGTGGACCTGGTACCCTGTTCCTTTCTCAAATGTGCTGTTAAAAGTTGTTCTTACTAACACATGTTCCATTTCAGAGGCAGTTTGTAGGTAGATTTTTCTCTCCAAAAGAGCAGGAGTTGTTACTCCTGCGTGGATTCAGAGCTGTGTCCCCCCCTCAGGACGGGCTGAGGTGTCGTGGGCCACAAACCCACGGCTGAACTGAGCCCAGTTCTGCAACCACTCAGTTCTCCAGTTGCCTTTGCAAACATCCCAGTTCTTCTAGAACATTCTGCAGATCTGCTGCACACATGGACCAACTGGAATTCTTTCTCCCTTTAAAACATAATTCCCAAACTGAGGAGGAAACCGGAGCGAGGATTAAACTCAGTTGTCCTCAGGCCCCTTCAAAGGGAAACAATCTGCTTCCTCTCAGCTTTTTGGGTGAGAGAAATTCCTTGGAGCAGATGCCATTGTCTTCTCCTTCCTCCCAGCTGCTCCAAGAGGCTTTGTCCTGCTATTTTTAAAATCCTTAATAGTTGTTTTGTTCCCAGTGAGGCCTTTCAGAAGTCCCTGAGCTCTGGGGAGGTCTGGCAGCACCAGAGGGACCTCCAGGGTTTGTGGCTGGAGAACTTGAGGCTTCTGGATGCAGGAAAATGGGCTCTTCTATTCCTGCCCAGCTCCGAGCAGGGCTGGAGGAGGGAAGGGGAGCAGGAAACGTGGATCCAGGGCTGTGCTGCTGGTCCTGATGGTCGTTTGTCTGTGTCCTTGCAGGGTTTGAGATCACTATCGACCATCCCCACACCCACGTGGTGAAGTGCACCCAGCTCGTGCGAGGTGAGGGGCAACTGGGATGGGAAGGGCTGGGAAAACAGGGTGGGATGTCCAGCTGGGACTGCTCCAGAGCTTCCCAGAATCCTGGGGTGGGTTGGATGGGAAGGGCAGGGACACCTTCCACAAGACCACGTTGCTCCCACCTGGCCTTGGACGCTCCCAGGGATGGGGCAGCCACAGCTCCTCTGGGCAACCTGTGCCAGGGCCTCCCCACCCTCCCAGGGAGGGATTTCTTCCCAGTATCCCATCTAAATCTCCCCTTTTCCTGTGGGAAGCCATTCCCCCTTGTCCTGCCACTCCAGGCCTTGTCCAAAGTCCCACACGATGGTCACCCCAGAGCCTTTTCCAGGCTGAACAATCCCAGTTCTCCCAGCCTTTCCTCACAGGAGAGCTGGTCCATCCCTGTAATCATCCAAAAAGAGGCAGCTTTAAATGATTCTGGCTCTGTTGAACTCCACAAAGCTCTCAGTGAGCAGAATTCCCCAAATCCCTGTGGCTGTGGCCTAGAGTGTGTTAATCCATGGGTGGCATGTGGCCCTTGCACCAAAATAATGATAATGTTTATCAGAATATGCAAGTAACACCCTGCTTTTTCCTTTTATCTTACAGCCAGCAAGGACTTGGCACAAACTTCCTATTTCATGGCTACAAACAGGTTATTATTTTTTTTTATTTTATAATTGATTTTATAATTTGTCTGCTGCTGGTGACTCTGGGGGCATCGCTCAGCCTGGGAGCAGCTGGGAATCCCTCAGGAGGAGCCTTGAGAAAGGGTTCCTACCCTTTTTTCCTGCCAGCTGCTGGGCAAAACCAGCTGGAAAATGAGGCAGGTGGGGTGCTCAGGAGCTTCAGTGCTTGGTTTATAAGAATTTATTTGTGAAAGTTTAAGGAAAACCCAAAGCAAACAAAAAAAGGTGAAATGAATGTGTACATTTTTCCTTGCTCAGTGCCAGGTGTTGGAGAGTTTTCACCCAACAAGGTGCTGTGGGAATTGTCCATGAATATGGTTTGTACCCAGAAAAAGGCTGATTTAGGGTATAAATGGGGTAAAAGCAGAGTTGGGTGCAGGCCAGGAGGAAACTGTGCTGTGAGTAGAACCTTGGAAAGAAAAGTCAGCCCAAGTTCATCCTCTGGGTTGTTTTGTCCCTAAATTTTCGCTTCCAGGCTGATGCCAGCAACTCGTGTTGGGATTATTTTTCCGTTGAATTTCCTGGATTATCAGCTTCAGGCAAATCATGGAGTGAATGTCACGGACACAGAAATGTTATGTCTTTGTGAGACTAGGGAGGAACAAAAGGTGGTTTGGGAGCCAGCACGGGTGAAGCTGCAGGGCCAGAGCTGCCTCCGAGCCCTGGGAATGTCTTTGGGCACTGGTTTCCCTCCTCTCCACCTGGGAGGTGTTCCCTGCTCACCTGCACTGTTTGTTGAAGGTGTTCTCAGGCTCCAAAGGGCACCTGTGGATTTCCGGCATCGGGAATGTGATGTTGGTGATATTTGGGTAAACACAGCCCTGAAACCTCTGTTATCCCTGCAGCAAGAGTTGCAAAGCCAAGGAATTGGGAGTTAAGACTGTAACTGAGGGAAATCCAGGCAGAAAGGACGAGGTGGAGCCTCAGTTTTGCCCCAAAGTGATGCCTGAGGGAGATGCCTTGGGGATGAACTGGATTTATCCATGTGTTCCACTTGGATTTCCTTCTGGCATCGTTATGGGGCAGAGTTGAGGCTCTTTGTGCACCTTAAGTGCACTCTGCCAAGGCTCTGAATTTCCTGCTTCTTCTGGATAAACCCAGGATCCATGAAACCTCAGGGTTTTTGGCTGTAGATTCCGTGTTTCTGCCTCTCCACCTTTCACTGGTGGAAAAACGTTCAGTAAGGTGGTGAGGGGATGGTGCCTCGTGGGTGCTCAGGGGCTCCTTTTCCCGTTTGTGTGTGGGCAGATCCCACACTCAGACTTGCTTCCATGTTTCCTAAAGCTCTGGTGTTCCTGCAGGGAGAGCAGGATCCTTTCAGTCCCTTGGTTCTTGCTTTCCCAGTGCTGCCCACACTTCCCAGCACTGAGTGGGAAATGTCATTTATTAATGAAAACACTTGGTAGGTGACCTGGCTCAGGTGCTCCTGGGTCACTCCAGCATTGAGTATGTATTCCTGAAAATCCTTTGGGATAGACCAGAGCCTTCCTAAAGCTAAAAAAGGGCCAGTTTGCTCCTTCAGTGCCATCCAGGAGTTGTGCTTGGAACTTTCTCCTCAGAGCAGAAGGTGGGGCCGGCAGGTCCCCACTGACTTTCCTCTTCCTTGGAGATCCCAAATTTCCTGTACCAAAACAGGGATAGGCAAAAACCGGTGGAGGAGATCCCAAAATTTCCTGGAGCAGAGCAGGGCCGGCCAAGCCCAGCGGTGCAGAGACCCCCCCCGGGCGGTGGAGCCGGGCCGGATCCGGCTGTGCCCGGGGGTCGTTCCGGGGAGGTCCCGAGGGCCACGCCCACGTTCCCCCCCGTGTCCCGCGTGGATGCTGCGGCTCAGGCGTGGGAGTTGATGGCTTTCTGTTTTCTCTCCCGGTGACGTCAGCCTGCACCTGACCACCTTCAGCCTGCAGTACACCCCGCCCGTTGTGGCCTGCGTCTGTATCCACCTGGCCTGTAAGTGGTCCAACTGGGAGATCCCAGTCTCCACGGACGGGAAGCACTGGTGGGAATACGTTGATGGCACTGTAACTCTGGAGCTCTTAGATGGTAAGTTTGGGAGCGAGGTTTTTTCCCCCCCCAAAAAAAAAAAGAAAAAAAGAAAAAAAAAGGCTCTTAAATTATTTTGGCATCTTTGGTCCTGGGTCTGATGTTCCAACACCACCTCACGGGCTCCAGGATTTCAGGGCTTGCCGAGGTTTCCAGGGCAGCAGCAGCTTCTGTAGCACCACAGAGAGATGAGTTTAAATGTGTCAGTGGTTCCAGTTCTCAGAGTTCCCCTCCCGGAGCAGCTCCATCCCACCAGTAGCTCCATCCATCAGAAGAGGGGGTTGTCCTGAGGGACCAGGGCTGCTCTGACCCTCCCGCTCGGGTTTGTGTCTCCTCTGCAGAACTGACCCATGAATTCCTGCAGATCCTTGAGAAAACTCCCAGTCGGCTTAAACGGATCCGGAACTGGCGGGTAAGAAACTTTGGACATTCTCTGTGATTCCTTTGGGAATGACAGTGCGGGGCAGTGTCTGGGAAGGGAGCGTGTGTGTGGAATCTGAATGCTGTGAGTGGTGCTCGAGTTTGTCTGTACTGAATTAACTCTGGAGAGACTTTGGTTTTCCAGCTGCAGTAGCAGCCTGGCTTCCAGGGCTCGGGAATCTTCCCACAAGGAGGGATGGGGGCAAAATCTGTCTGTACTGATGAGCTCCAGTGACACCCCAGAGTAAACACCCGGCTGGTCTTTCAATTCCAGGCCTCTCAGGCAGCCAGAAAGTCCAAGACCGACGACCACGGCGACGACGAGAACCTGTCGGAGCAGACCATCCTCAACATGATCTCCAGGAACAACAGCTCGGACATGAACATCGCCGGGCTCATGAGCATGTCCACGTCCTCCACGGCCGGCGCGGGGCCGGCGCTGCCGCCCGCGGCCGATTCCCCCGGCGAGCCGAGCGCCGCCGACCCTTCCCAGGCGGATCATTGGCATCCCCCGGCCAAGCTGGACATCCACAGGACTAGCGAGAGCTCCTCGGCCGCCGCCGAGCACCCCCAGCAGGACGGTGCCGCCTACCCAAAGCAGGGCACCAAGAACGCGCCGTCGGCCAAGGTGTCCCTCAAGGAGTACCGGGCCAAACACGCCGAGGAGTTGGCGGCGCAGAAGCGGCAGCTGGAGAACATGGAGGCCAACGTGCGCTCCCAGTACGCCTACGCCGCCCAGAACCTGCTGGTGCAGCAGCAGCGGGAGAGGGAAGGGCAGCAGGACAGCAACCCCTCCCCGATCATCCTGAAAATCCCCATCGCGGGCTCGGACAACCCCGAGCGCCCGCCCGGCGCCGACAAGGGCGACAAAGCCCTCAAGATGAGGATCCAGGCGGCGGGGGCGGGCGGGGAGAGGCCCATCCCCTCCAAGCAGGAGGAGATCAAGATGCGGATCAAGGTGCCGGGCCCCGGAGACAGGCACGGCTCCGCGGACGAGGGCGGGAAGAGCCGGGAGTACAAGGAGAAGCACAAGGGCCACTCGTCCAACCACCACCACCACCACCACAACCACCACTCGCACAAACACTTGCACGCCCAGCTCGGCGCCGGCCCCAGCACCGCGGCCAAGCGCCCGGGGGACTCCAAGCACGGCGCCCAGCCCGGCGCCGCCGCCCCCCACAAGGGCTACGGGCCCCTCGCCCCCACCCGCAAGAGACCCCTGCCCGAGGAGCCCTCGGCCGCGCCCCACGAGCACCAGCCCAAGGCGGGCAAAGCCTCCAAAGGCCCCGCGGTGCCGTTCCCGTACTCCCACCTCCCCGGGGCTTCCCACCTGCCCGGGCACAGCTCGGATTTATCCCAGCCCGGCGGCAAAGCCCAGCGGGGCGCCCACAAATCGGACAAGGGGCCCTCGGGGGCCAACGGGCACAACGCCAGCCAGGCCAGTGACTATCAGGACACGGTGAACATGCTGCACTCGCTGCTGAGCGCGCAGGGCATGCAGCCCACCCAGCCCCCCGCCTTCGAATTCCACTCGTACGAGCTCCTGAACCCCCGGGCTTCCAGCGGCTCCCGAGCTGCCGCCAACACGGACAAGCCCCGACCGCCCCCCCTGCCCTCGGAACCGCCCCCCCCGCTGCCCCCCCTCCCCAAGTAAACCCCCCCCTCCCCTTTTTACTACTGAGTCCGGAGCCCGAGCCCGAACCCGCGGGGCTTGAGAAAGGGCTTTTTGATCTCCACTGCCTCACGAAGAACTTATTTTATTATAATATAACTTTTATTATTGATATTTAGTTGTTAAAAAGCTGTGAAAGGATAAGGAACCCTTTCTCTATTCCTTCCCTTTCCCCCCATAGGCTCCCAGTTAGTGTTGGGCTTTGCCCCCCCCTCTGGGGAATGTGGGGGGTATTTAAAATATGTCACAGAAAATTTAAGATGTTTTACAAATAATTTAAGCATTAACTTATATCTTAGTGGTTTTGGTCCTTTTAATTCCGTGGGGCTGCGGTGGAGCCCGGGGAGGATCTGGGGGGGACTTGGTGGTGGGGGCTCTACTTGAGCTGTTGGAGATTGGATGTGGAATTAGGAGGTTTTGGGGGAAGGGGGCATGTGGGGGGCTAAGGGAATTCCAGGTGATAGGAGCTGCTCTCCCTGCCATGGTCCTGTTTCCTCGCTCCTAAACCTGCTCTGATTTGGGAATGGTGTCTGTCCCTTATTCCCCTCCTGCAGCCCAAGGCTGGTGTGTGCAGAGCTGGGTTTAGGGCTGTGTTGGAGGACTTGGCTGTCGGGGTGATCGGGACAGGGTTATGGTGCATTCCCAGTGGGATGAGGATGCAGGATCACTGTGCCCAGGGCAGCTCTTCCAGGGAATCCCACTGGCATGTGGCTGTTCACAGCCAAGCTGGGAGCAGCTTTTACACAGCCCAGGGACCCACCAGGGTTTGGGTTGAATGTTTGGGAAAACCCCATTTCCTTCCTTCTTAGACTTTTACTCTCCCACCTTCAATAAATGGATGGTCTCTGGATGGTTTTTGGGAAACTTGTTCCACATGGGCTTGTTTTCAGGAAGATTCAGTGTTGGCCTCTCCCTCCAGCACCTCTGCCCTCGACGACCCTCCCCCCTGCCAAGGGTTTGGGAACGGGTTTAGTCCGTTTTTGGGTCTGGCTTAGATTTCAGGCTCTGGACAAAGGCCCAGCCCTTTGTTTCCCCCAACTCCTTTGGAGGCCGGTTTCTCCCGGGATGAGGAGGTTCTGCCTTCCCGTTAACCGGCGGGGAGCAGTGTCGGTCTGCAGCCAGTCCAGGAAACCGGGAGGGGATCAGGAACAGTGGGGGGGGCTCTTGGCCAAGCCCGAGGACCAAGCCGGGGCTCCCGGGAGCTCCTCCTTTCCCGGGGCCGAAGCCCAATCCCGGTGTCGCCTCCCCCGGGGACCCTCCCGGTCCCGCCGCGCCCACGTGTCGCGTTCCCGCCGCGCCTCGCCCACGTGACAGCCGGCGGGCGCGGCCGCTCCCCTCGTGAGTGACGGCGGGATCGCCCAACCGCGCGCGGCACCGCCCCCGCGCCCCCCGCCGATTGGCTGCCGGGCGGGCCAGTGAGGCGGCGGGGCGGGCGCGCGCCGGGTCTGCGCGGAGGCCGCGGCGGCAGCGAGGTAAGATGGCGGCGGCGCCGCCCGCCCACGGGAGGGTCCCTGCGCAGCCCCTCGCCGCGGCCCCCGCGCGCTCCTCCGGGCCCCCTCAGCCCCGCACCGTCCCGCGGGCGGCCCCCCACCCCGCTCCCCTCGCCGACAGCGTCTCCTGCGCGGCCCCCGGGGGTTCCCCCGCGCGCCGGCCGCCCGCGGACAAAATGGCGGCGCCGGGGCGGAGGGAGCGCGCATGCGCGGGGGAAGCGGCGGGGGAGCACGTGCGCGGGAGGGGGGCGCCGGGATAGGAACCGGGATAGACCGGGATGGGATACTGGGATAGACTGGGATGGGGACCGGGATAGACACCGGGATAGGATAGGGATGGGATACTGGGATAGACTGAGAGGGGACCGGGATAGACTGGGGAAGGGACCGGGATAGACACCGGGATAGACATGGATGGGCACCGGGATGGGGCACCGGGATAGAGGAGAAGTGGACACCGGGGTAGATCGGGATGGAAACCGGAATACATCGGGATAGAGGTGAGATGAGAACCGGGATGCAGCGCCACGGAGGCGGGAACGGGCACTTGGAGGCACCGGGAGCACGGGGATGCAGGCAGGGATAGGAACCGGGATACCCCGGGATTCAGGAGGAGGGAGTTCTGTTCTGGTCCTGTACTGGTCAGTGATGGGGGGGTGAGCCCGGGAACTGGGAGGGGCCCTGAAGGGATGGGGATCATACCGGCCATGGGGGTCAGAATTTTACCCGCATCAGTTCCCAGCTGCCGCTCTTCATCCTGTCGGTGTTTCGTTCCCTCTCTTTCCCTGCAGGCGTTGCCATGAACAGGATCCGGATCCACGTGCTGCCCACGAGCCGGGGCCGCCTGACCCCGGTGCCACGGCCTCAGGAGCCGCTGGCCTGTGCCTTCAGCCCCCGGCCCTGCTCCCAGCCCCGCCTGGAGGGGCAGGAATTCTGCATCAAGCACATCCTGGAGGACAGGAACGCTCCCTTCAAGCAGTGCAGTTACGTGTCCGCCAAGAACGGGAAGCGCTGCCCCAACGCCGCCCCCAAACCCGAGAAGAAGGATGGGTGAGTGCCTCCTCTGCCTCCTGGTTTTCCCGGTGTTCCCCGTGGTTTTTACCCTGTGGAATTCAAATGGCCAGGAGGAGGTTCTTCTCCTTGTGGTCCCCGCCGAGGGAAAGGCTGGAGCTGTGTCAGGGGAGGGTTGGGTTGGATTTTTGGGGAAAGGTTCTTCCCCCAGAGGGTGGTCGGGCACTGAACAGTTTTCCCAGAGCTTGGTCACGACCCCAAGGCTGCCAGAGCTCAAGGAGCATTTGGACAACACTTTCAGGAGTTGGGATTTTGGGATTAGTGGGATTTTGGGGTGTCCGGTGCGGGGCCAGGAGCTGGATTTTGATGGTCCTTGTGGGTCCCTTCCAGCTCAGGATATTCCATGATTCTAGAGCTCAAGGAGCATTTGGACAACACTTTCAGGAGTTGGGATTTTGGGATTAGTG